CCCAACGCAGAAGGTGTAATACAAATGCGCGCATTCAGAAGTCCTTAAGCTGGTGGTCGGATTGCTAAAAGAGGTCAGATCGCTATGAAACAACAATTTATAAAATCTTCGTCAGGATACGTCTTTGCTGATGCCGGCTTCGATGTTTGGATGGGAAATATGCGAGGAAACAAGTATTCTAGAAACCACATTAGTTTCAATCCGTTCTTTAGCAGTTTCTGGAATTTCACGTGAGTATTTAACTTATTGTTAGCCAACAGCATCTTCACTATCAAAAAACAACTTCGTTCTGTTTCAGTTGGGACAAAATGGCTCAGTACGACCTGTCCTCAATGATCGACCACGTACTAATCACCTCTGGCCAAACGCACGTATACTACGTCGGTCATTCGCAAGGCACTCTCACGATGTTCGCCAAGCTTTCCACCGACGCAGCCTTCTCCAAAAAGGTTAGCTTGCTGCAACACCAATTTCCAATAACTGTAGCTTAGAAGCTGTATAGCTGGTCTCAGCAACCTTGTGATAGAGCGAACTTGCATATAGCAGGGGAGGGAAGCCATAAAAAGGAAATCGGGAATGCAAGGAAATCGGGATTGGCTCATTAATGCAGAAAGGAGTAATGGTCAAAAGAGAAGACTGAAGCCGGCAGGGGGAGTTGTCCAGAGTGAACCCTGGCCTACGCTACACTACCAACAACAACTATTACTGGGTCTTCAAGAAAAGAATCTGTATGTGGATAATTTGTGAGGGAGAGCGAAGCTGGCTTCCTGCGACATTGAGTCCTCGTTCCCATTCAATCCTACTTGGAAAGTCATTTCGAAAAATCTTTCTAAAGACATACTTTCAGATTAGAATGATGTTTGCGCTGGCCCCAGTTGGATCAGTTAAACACATTACTGGCCTTATTAGAAAGTTTATTGACGGTGTATCGACAAATTTTGCGGTCAGTTTATTGAAATTGTCAAAACATATATTGACATAGTATTGAAGGCAGATATCACGATAAATTTGAGGTATCTAGTTTTAGATGAATAATGGAACAGATAGTCGAAACTAGTGCAGAAGAAAACGCGCAATTTGGCGTGATTAGGGAAATGTAAGGATCCGATAAGCGGTTAAATCAGAGGTTGAGCGAGAATGAGAAGACAAACTTGTATGGAAGAGATATCTGGATGACTGTACGAATGTGTGCACTATTGCTACAGCTGGCTATAGTAAGCTACCTACGTGCAACATCTGCGAATGTCTCTTCAGCCCCTACAACGCTGTGAAATGTGCCCTTCAGGTATGAACGTCGGCGGCGACAGCGTTTCCTGTGCTATCCTTGGGAGTCAAAAACTCACTCGAGTGAGAAATCTCAGGAACCATTTTTATCGTGAATTTTGCCTTTAACGCAAAAATGGAAAAACAATAACAGTTCATAATATAATAATATCATAGCATGTATAATACATGTTAGTATTATTGGTTAGACTTCTCAAATCAGTGGGAATTGTTAGATAGTACAAATAGATAGTGAATATTCATCATCACTTTACAGGCCTTTGTTAATTTGTTCGGATCGGCTGAATTCCTCCCGAACAACTT